GGCAGGCGGCGTTTACGTTTAGTAGTTACGGCGAAGAGAATCCGTTATGACTGCCACATACCGCTCTTACTCCCCCCCCCCAACCATAGGAATTAAACTAGACCCTGGCATGGGGACACCTATAGCTGCCTGGCCAAGACGGACTATCGACCCAAAATGCTAAACACATTACCAATTGGCGTATTACTCCGATTACATATTTAATTTTCGTTTTACCCACCACAATGACGTTATATTGACTTCGGGATCCCATCTGCATTCTCGATCTCTGACGCACGTCGAAGATATTTCCAAGATCAATACAGGAAGGGCTGTGGAAGGAGAGAGGATTAGCCTACCAATCTTCTATGAGTGCCTATCGCATGAATAAAGGGGTGATGGGGCGCGAACTGTGGCCTGTTGTGCTTTGCACTACTCCCTCTTTCACTCGGAAGTGATCAGGGGAATCACGGTAACCACACAGTATTTACTCGGCTGACCGGGTAACGTCGCGTCCATGGCGAAGGTGCCGACATTTCGGTCGCCATTCTGCGACTTTCCTCAGGGCATATTGCCCTGGCCTTTGCCCTGGACCCTTCGCCATGGACGCGGCGTCACCCGGACAGCCAAGTAAATACTGACTCCGGCCGCGGAAGCCTACGCTCTCACGGAAACCACACGTCGGAGTAGTGAACATACAAAGTATCCCGCAGCGTCCGCGAATTCATCCACTTGCATCAAAGAAATATCCAGTATCTACCCCAAATCGGACCCAAGGCATTCCTTTAGTAGTCTCGGTCGCACAATCAATAAATAAGGTGATGAAACACCCAGCTGCTAATTGCAGATTACATTGGTGATGCGCTTCCAATTGGAGCTGACAGATAAGAGTGGACAAAACAGTACAATGCAGCCGTGATTATACGAAACAAGACAAATATAACTGTACACGCACGGGGTGCATTTTCTGCGAATCTTAATTACTGCAATGCGCTTCCTAATTACGCCATTCCTAATTGCCTTCACATAATGTGCCACCAAGCGAAAAAATAATTTGTAACTGTTACCATCGAAATGTGGTTCGTTTAATAGCGCACGAATTTCTGCAACTGAACCGAAAAGCTGTAAATGTACGAAAATATCAGGGGAAGCTGTAAAAAAATGCGTTGCTTGTTTGTTTCGGACGATTCTCCCTAAATTCCATATCGAAGCAATTATATGCTCTTATTCATTGAGACGTCTTCATGTATAAACAAGTTAGTATGATGGGACTGCTATACTCTAAATTACTTGTCATATAGCAGGAACGAAAACGGTGAAAAGGGAGCTTTCGGATTTTAGTAGCAGAATTTAGTAGCGGATTTTAGTAGCTTTCGGATTTTAGCCCGACGCCGCCCCGACGCCGCCCCGACGCCGCCCCG